CCAAATAGAGACAATCAGGACCCAAGAGAAAAAGAGACAATCAGGACCCAACACTGAGGACAAACAGTAAGGACGATTTATGGCAAGACCAGGCCCCACGTGTGTGCAGAGAGGTGGCAGAACCGGCCCTACCACAGTCTCTCATCCCTCCCCACCCTCCACCAGAGGTCAGAGGAGGTGAGGGAGGGAGCCCAGGTAGGTCATTGCCCACGGGGGAGGACTGGGCTTTTTTTTTCCTTCTTCATCATTGACAAAGTGAGGGGGATTCTAAGAGACCCTTAAAGCTTGAGGGGCAGTGCCATAGCAGGGGTGATGTGCACCGAATTTGCCAGTGGAGCCTCTGATTCCAGGGCAGATGATCCTGCACCACTCCCCACCCCCCAGAGGGAAAGGCGAAAGAGGCAGGGAGGAGCGGGCAGGGGGCTTCCCGCCAGTCCTCTTGGGGGACGCTAACATTTGGGACTTTCCCAGAGCCCAGGCATTGCTCCACAGGGTACTGAGCTCGAGCCATTGTGTTAGTTACCTATTGCTGCAAAACAAAACACCTCAAAACTTAGTGCCATAAAACAATGGACATTTATCATCTGGCCATTTCTGTGGGCCAGGAGTTGAAGCAGAGCATGGTGTGAAGGACTTATCTCTATTCCATGATGTCTGGGTCCTCAGGGCTGGGGCCTAGAACCCCCGCCCTTCCCCAGTGGCTCACAGGGCTGGCAAACTGGTGCCGACTGCCGGGTTGTCTCCACAGAGCTGCTCGAGGGTCTTCAGGATGTGCCTGCTGACTTCCCTTCAGAGAATTATCAGAGAATCAAGGAAGAAGTTGTCTGGGATGAGCAGGCCTCTAAAGTCACACATTGTCCCTTCTACAAATTTTGCTTGTCATACAGGTAAGCTTTGATTGAGGGTGCCAGGAGGCACAGAGGGACATGAACACAGGAGGTGCAGATCACTGGGCCAACGTGAGGCTGGAGATCACATCCAACTTGCTGGCTCTTCACCCAGGAAGACTGGCCCAGGGAGGGGGCGGCCTTGAGAGGAGCCGAGGGGACAGGGGGACTTCCAGCCCAAGCAGATCTCCCTTGTTTGGCTCTGAGCAGTGGGAAGGCCCCATAGGGTTTTCTGGATAGCTCACAGGAGCCCTGTGTGGGGCAGTGACCAGTGAGTGAAAAGAAGCAGTGATCCTATATCCTCTATTAAAAAGATCCTTGTGGCTGGACGCCCGTAACTCAGTAGTTAGGGTGCTGGCCACACCCTCCCAGGTTGGTGGGTTCCAACCCAGCCCATGCTAAACAAACAAACAAACAAAAAAATAGCCAGGTGTTGTGGCAGGCACCTGTAGTCCCAGATACTAGGGAGGCTGAGG